GGAAGGAGATTCCACCACCTCCCTAAGGGAACCCATTCCAGTGCTTCACCACCTTCCTCATGAAATAGTGTTTCCTAATATCCAACCTAGACCTCCCCCACTGCAACTTGAGACCATTACTCCTTGTTCTGTCATCTGCTACCACTGAGAACAGCCGAGCTCCATCCTCTTTGGAACCCCCCTTCAGGTAGTTGAAAGCAGCTATCAAATCCCCCCTCATTCTTCTCTTCTGGAGACTAAACAATCCCAGTTCCCTCAGCCTCTCCTCATAACTCATGTGCTCCAGCCCCCTAATCATTTGTGTTGCCCTCTGCTGGAATCCAGAAGAAAGAGAGATCATTAACGTTGACTACCTGGATGAGAAATCATGCATCCAAGTCAAAAACTGTTGGTGTCTGAAGGAAACGGTTGGGATTCCCTACAACGACCTTGGGAGCTCTCAACATTCAGGATTGTTCCCAGTAGGTGATGGATCCTCAGGGCAGATGTTGCTCCTACTCACCCTGACTGACACTGGGCAATGGTTCCCTCCTGATCTCTCTTCCCACCGAGTATTTTGATGGGTTATGGGGGCAGAACCCATGTCTCTAGATGTTTCTTGGCTTTGTTCTCCCCTTTTCCATTTCTGAGGTTTCTGTCTCTTTCCCCGCTAGGTGCTGGGATGGAGAGTGAGACCGAGAAGCAGAAACCTCAGGAAGATGCTGAGCCAGTGGAAACACAGGGGGTATCATTGCAAAAATCCAAAGGGAAGGTGCCCGTGAGTCATGACCAGGGAAATGCCTGTGAGAAACAGCTTAGACCAGAGAGGCAGAAGGCAAACAAGCCAGGGAAGAGAGGGGGTAAATCCATCCGTTGTTGGGAAACGCACAAAGACCTCAATGAAACCCCAGCCCAGCCGAGAAACCTCATGGAAGAGAGAAAAAACACATGTACTGAGTGTGGGAAAAACTTCAGTAACCGCTCAGGCCTTATTAACCATGAGAGAATCCACACAGGGGAGAGACCGTATGAATGCAGCGAGTGCGGGAAAACCTTCCCTCGGAGCTCAGCCCTTATCATACATCAGAGAATGCACACGGGAGAACGACCCTACGAATGCTGTGAGTGTGGGAAAACCTTCAGTAACCACTCAGACCTTATTCGACATCAGAGAATCCACACAGGTGAGCGGCCCTATGAATGCAGCGAGTGTCGGAAAACCTTCAGTTACCGCTTGGCCCTTACTGAACATCAGCGAATCCACACAGGGGAAAGACCTTATGAATGCAGTGAGTGCGGGAAAAGCTTCAGTTATCGCTCAGATCTCATTAGACATCAGAAAACCCACACCGGAGAGAGACCTTACGAATGCTGTGAGTGTGGGAAAAACTTCACTGACAGATCAGCCCTTATTAATCATCAGAGAATTCATGTGGGAGAGAGACCCTATGAATGCTCCGAGTGTGGGAAAAGCTTCAGTTACCGCTCAGACCTCACTACGCATCAGAGAACCCACACCGGAGAGCGACCCTATAAATGCAGCGAGTGCGGGAAAACCTTCAGGCAGAGCTCACACCGCATTCGACATCAGAAAATCCACACGGGCGAGAGACCTTATAAATGCTGCGAGTGCGGGAAAAGCTTTGCTGACAGTTCAGTCCTTATTACGCATCAGAGGATCCACACGGGTGAGAGACCCTATAAATGCTGTGAGTGCAGGAAAACCTTTGCTGACAGCTCCGCCCTTATTAGACATCAGAGGATCCATACAGAAGAGAGACCCTATAGATGCTCCGAGTGTGGGAAAGGCTTCCATCAGAGCTCAACCCTAACTAGCCATCAGAGAATCTGCAAGGGAGATAAACACCATGAAAACCTTGTCTAGGGCCGACAAAATATATTTTTTTCATAATTTTACCATTTGATTCACTGTGGGCCTACAGCTATCCCAGGTGATTTACCTGCTTTTGCCTTTTGCAGTTCAACTTTTGGGGTTAATCCCATGGTCCTTTCTTTCAGCCCCTTTTTCCTAAGAGTAAGCCCCTTCGTTTTCAGTTGAAACCAAATTTTAACCAAAAAATTTGTGGGTTCTACAAAAAGTATTATTCTTCTCCCACCCCCCCCCCCAATTTTCACCCTACTTTTGTAGCATTCATTAATAAAAATAACTTGTTTTATCAGGAAAATACAAGACATGGTATGAGCTAGACGTATGCCTATAATACAAGTCCGTGTGTACACGCAAAGCTGCCTGTTGAAGGAAAGCTCTGTATTTGTCTAGGACACACACACACACACACACACACACACACACACACACACACACACACACAACAAACAAACACACACAC